TATTTTTTGTGGGGTTGGAGGGTGGGGGTGGGGTGTGGTGTTTTTTGCAGTTTTGAGATGTTTTCTTTTTAATGTTTTGCTGTGTGCATGTGGGGGCGGGGCGGGGAGAGAGAGGGACTCCCAACCCAGCCCAACTCCTGGAGAGGGGCCAGTAACACGAATATATAGTTACACCTACAAACTATATATATGCTCTGTGTAATAAGAGGTAAAGAGAAGGGATGCGGAAAGACAGAATGACAAGGCATGGACGTGGACATTTGTTCACTTTCTCATTCATTATTCCACAAGGGTCCATTTGTCTCATTCGCCGGCCGAAGTGCTCCGCATTGTGCTGAATATTGAGCGCTCAGTGAGGCAGACAGACAGGGTCCCCAATATCCTTGTAGAGTTTACATCTTGTGCATTAGACGATAAAAAATTGTGTACACAACAGTAAGTTATAATTAGGATATAGGAGAAATTTGAAATGCTACAAATATGCTCCATCAGGGGCTTCACCCAGCTTAAAAGAAAGGGATATTTTAGCTGATGCTGAAAAGATGACAAGCCAGCCAGGTGAAGCTAGGGGGAAGAGCTGGCTCCAGAGAACAGCCTACACAAAGGCCCTGGGGCAGGAGTTGCAGAGAGGGCTTTTAGCAGTGAGCCAGGTTCAGATGCAACAAGAGGAGGCTTAAGACCAAGGCCCTGCCAGACTCCCAGGGACCACTGACCCAGGGACATCTGGGTTAGGCTAGGAGTTTAGATTTTATTCTGAAGACATTGGGGAGCCATGGAATAAATGGCTTTCAGCATGAGCACAACCATTAATGGTGTACAAGGGGGCGGCAGGAACTGAAGAGATGAGAGTGAGAGGCAGGGACGAGCTGGAATCCAGAATCAAACATGCACTGGCTCTTGAAACTCACTTGTAGAAGGAAGCAGATAATTAACACAAATACTGAAGCACAGGAGCCATGTCTGGTGTGCAGGAGAGGCGCTGAACTTAAAGGTACTGTTTCATTCATTCAGCCATTCACTTGACACTTATGCGGCTCTGCTAATGTACCAGGCAGTGCACTAGAATCAGTGTCCCCTGAGGTGAAACAGTGAAGCAGACCCTACAGGAGCCTTCGAAAACCACAATCCACATAGAGTGATCGGTGCTGGAACAGGGACCACATGGACATCTTGAACAGAGAACAGAGTGACCGACCAGCTGCCTGGAGTGGGTGGCACTCATGTCATGCCCAGCCTGGGTTTCAGAAGGATAAGTAGGAGTCTGCCAGGTGATAAAGGGGGTGAGGGAGGCTTTCTAGCAAAAGAACAATGCTCGCAAAGGCTTGGGGGAGTGAAACAGCATGCTACATGGGGCAGGATAGGGTTGAGAGATAAGCCCAGAGAAGCAGCTGGAACCAGAGTCTTAAGGGGTTGGAGTTCCAGGCTTAGGATTCAGGACATTCTAAGGGTAGTGGGGAGACATGGGAGAGCTTTGGGCAGGGTTAAACAGGCTAAGGGCAGGGTTAGACGTGGGTGTTAGGAGACCCCTGGGACATGGCTGTTGTAGATAGTGACAGGAGGGCGGTTGAACTGGGCAAAGGCAGTGGGAGTGGAGGTGGTATGGGTTTGAAGGTCACTGAGGACACTGAAGATCCCATGCGTAGTGGATTTCCCTTCGCTGGCTCAGCAAATATTTCCTGAGGTCTCCAGGATGCCAGGCCAGGTTCTTGGTGATGCTGGAAGTGCAGAGATGACTCAGGCCCTGCCCTGCCCCTGGGGGCTCCTGGTTTAGTGAGAAGATAGATGGGGCATAGACAGGGTGGGAGTGGATAGCAATGGCACCAGGCTGTCAGGGTTTCTGCCAGGGTTCGAGGAAGACTGCCGTGGGGGCCATGTCAGGGAGAGATGCTAAAATGGGGACAGAATACAAATTAGGGAAAACTTGGTGTAGGGATGATACATGGAAAGAAGAGACAGGAAGAGGTGGCATTAAAGAAACAAGTTTGGTGAGAAAGGGGGAAGAACTGGTCAAGGGGTGGTGGGTTCTAGGGTTCAAAGGCCAAACAGCAAGAAAGGTGGAGGGCGGACAGAGGGAGAGACAGGAGAGGGCTGTGGGAGGACAGAGTCTGGGAGAGGGAGGAGGGGAGACAGGGGAGAAAGGGTAAGAGCAGTAGAGATCCAAACTAGGTGAGTCACAGAAAAAGAAAGGTAATCCAGAGAGGAGAGAAAAAAGGATAGGAGAGAGACTGACACAGAGATGTACACGTCAAAAAAGAGACATCTTGGAGACACATACACAGAGATGGAGAGGTAGAACCACAGAGAGGGATGTGGAAATCTGCTCTCCCATGTCTCCCCACAACCCAAGTGTAGCGTACAGGGATGACTCACTTCTTTTGCTTGCTTGTTTTCAGTATTTGAGAAACATTTGTGGAGTGCCATCCTGTTCTAGACTCAGGCTAGGCCCACAGCATGTGGTGAGCATGTGGTCAAGGTCCAGCTCTCCTGGAGCCCACATGAGAGGCGAACAATACGTAAGAGAATTTCAGTTTCGGGGAACTGCTTTAAAAACTAAGCAAGATGTGGTGACGGTTATGGAACAGGGGCCTTGAGAAGCCCTCCCTGCAGAGGGAACATTGGAACAGAGACGTGGGTTGTAAGAAGGCTGCGTTCTGGCCACCATGGCAGGTGGCACAAAAGCCTCTAGGAGCCCCAGGTTGGCGGGCAGCCCGGGAAGCGGTGGGCAGGTTAACAAGGGAAGCAAACCAGGTGAGGTCAGAAGCGCAGGCTGTTGGGCAATCATGAGGAGCCTTGTAGCCCTGACTCTATGGGATGAGCATGGCATGGCACGGTTATGCTTTTATTTACATTAAAGAATAACAGAAGGCATATTGTGCTGAGAATAGATATAGGGGTGAAAGTGGCAGTAAGGAGTTAGGGGACTATCGTTCAGCTCAGGCTAATTTGGCCTGGACCCACGTGGAGTCAGTGAGGGTGGAGAGAAGTGAAGAATAGGGCATGGGACTTTGGAGATGGAGCCTGTTGAAGTGGCCAACTGGATATAGCGGGAGAAGGAAGAGAAACCAAAATGAGGGGAAGTGAGAAGCTTAATTGGGTATGTGCCACTTAAGTAGCTGCACTGGGTGTTCCCAGAAAGGGGGCTACTGGGACAAGGGATCAGGATTCCAGTGGAATAGTCGAACCACGTGACCTTTGGCCACAGTCAAGTTGGGTATCAGGTACTGGGTTGGAAATGGGAGACTAGAGCTGGGGGCGTGGTCACGGCTGGAAATACAAATTTTGGAAACATCATTGTGTAGGAAATGTTTAAAGCCACCAAGCTGGATGAGAAGGTAAGTGTGGATAGAGAGGTGACCCCAACCAGAGCCTGGGGGGCATCTGCATGGGGAGAGGAGAGAAGGTGGAGGACAGGAATTGGCCTGTGGCGCTAAATGCCACTGGGAACTGGAAGAAGGTCATGAGAGCAAAGTGACCATTTGCTCCATTTGATAGCAGGTTATTGCAGTGCAGGGGTGGGGACTGGGACCCTGTTTGAGCTGAAGGAATAATGAGGGAAGGAAGGTAGAGGGAAAGGAGACCAGGCCATCCTTCTGGTGTGAAAGTGACAAGAACCTCCATACCGAAGAAAAGAAAGGAGGGGCAGGGAGAGAGGGGACAGAACAAAGTATCCTGAAAAGAGAGCTGTTACAGCAGGGTGTTGAGAAAGATAGGGAGACCCAGGGCCCAGAGAGGAGATGGATTCAGAGGGTAGGTGGACCATCCCCAGCGCTGCCTTACCCAGCTCCATCCTGAGCTGCAGCCAGAGCCGAGCACAGCCTCGAATCCCCCTTTGGAGCCTCTCAAGGCCTGGGAAGACCCAGTAAAGCCAAAGAAAGAACAGGTTTTGCCCATTCATTTAAGAAATTTCTGATGCCTTTGCAGCTGCCTGCTAGGCCAGCTGCCTGGGTTGAGAGATAAGGAGGGCGGTTAATCAACACAGAGGGAGAGGACCTCTAACGGGGACACCTTTCCTAGCTTAGGAGGGGACGTCTGTGTGTCACCATCTCACATCACCCATCATTATCCATTGCTTGTGCGTTCATTCAAGTCATCTAATGCACCTTTCCTGAGGCCTCCTGTGTGGTTTCGGGCTAGCTGGTGCTGAGCACGAGGAACCTTCTGCATCTGGGCCCTGCTCCAGGCCAGAGACAGCAGCAGACGCACACAGTCACATGTACTCCAATGGAAGCAGCACAGGGTGCCCTGGGCATCCAGAGCAGGATGCACAGAAAGGGCAGTTCACCAGCAAGGGGCTTGGTGAAAGGTGGGGCCCACCTGGGCGGTTGGCACAAGGGCTGAGGGCCGGTGGGTGGAGGAGTAAAGACCAGGCCCTGCTGCCATTCCACATGGCTGTCCTGTCCCTGTCCCTGGGGGAGCGAAGCTGCATGGAAGGTCCTCTGGGTGCCCTGTCTAATAAATTCGGTGATGAGGACTGTGGCTTTGATTCCTGCGCCCTGGCACCCAGCCTCTCCCTGGTTCTGCCCTTTCTACCTCCTGCAGAGCTGAGGACCCCAGTGCAGAATTGTCCTTCCACCTTCAAGACCCAGGAGTCCAGACTCCAGCCCCTCCTCCCTCAGACCTGGGGGTCCACCCCCCAGCCCCTCTTTCCACTGACCCAGCAGTTCAAGTTCCCAACCTGCCTGCTCGGTACCAAAAGTCCAGGCTCCCCGCCCTGCTCCCTGTTTGGTCACCAGAGAGATCGGACCCTCACTTCTCGCACTTGCCGCTTAAGGAAATAATGTCCTTTCAGGCTCCAGCCGGGTCAAGACTCGGCCCTAGCCCCTCCCCTGCCTCTTGTCCCTTAAAATACCCGGGATCCCTATGGCAACAGGCGCCGGGCGACAGGTGCTGGTGTTATTTACGGGTCGAGCCCGAAATAGCCGGGAGCGTGGGGGTGGGCGGCTGGGGGCGAGGCCGCAGCTAGAGCAGCGCTGGTGGGCGGCCGGGCCTGCGGCGGAGCGGAGACCACAGTTCGGAGGATCGCGGAGCTGGGGCCGGCGAGGCGCCCAGGCAGTAGGGCGAGCGGGGTCCCTGCCCAGGAGCCGGGGGTGGGAGGCCTGCGGGAGGCGCCCGGCCTGGAGCTGAGGCTGGAGGCGTCCCAGCCGGACGGGCCCTGGGAGCCCGGGGGAGGGGGGACCCAGTGATCCCGAGGGGACGCAGAGTCCCTTGGGGATCCCAGCTGTCCTCTGGACCGCGGGCGGACTCTGTCCTCATTTCCTGAGCCGCAGTGTGGACCACAGCCACTCCATCTGAGCCCCAGTGGGGACCCCAGGTCCCCCTCTTGAGCCCTGGGAGAACCCTCAGCCCCCTTCTCTGAAGTCCATTGTGTCCCTCGGCCACTGGTCCCATCTCAGTCCCAGTGCAGACTTCAGATCTCTCTTCTCTGAATGGCCAGGGAGACCCTCAGCCCCTTTGCCTGAATTCCAGCAGGTCCCCAGCCCACGCCTTCTCTGCACGCTGCAATTCCCTTCTGTGACTGCTGTGTGTGGGGAGGTGGGGGGGTCTGGGGGCGGTCCTTCTGCCTCTCTGAGACCCAGAAGGAGTTCTGACTTCCCTCCCTCCACCTCCACCTCCCCCGGCAGCCCCAACTCTTCCTTCCCCAGAGTCTGAGCCCAAAGGAAGTCAGCAGGTGTCTCCTCTAAATACTGGGAGCACTTCTGCGCCCCCTTCTTGGGTACTCCAAACTCTGAGCCAGTGGGGAGCTCAGATCCCTTCTGTCAGGAAACCAGTTTCCCTTTTGTTATTCCCCCAGGCAGGAACCCTGGCAGCCCCTCGAGCTTCAGCCCACACTTCATTCTCCTGGCCCTGGAGTCTTCTGCCTCCCTCCTGGGCACCCAGGTTCTAGCTCTGAGCATCAGGGGGCCTTGCTCTTTCTCTGGGTCACATCGTTTCTGTTGAGTTTCTGGGGGTACTCCAGGCTCTCCTCTGGACCTCAGAGGGTTCCTTAGCTGGAAGGTCTTGTTTTTTCCTCATTTTTCCTGAGCCCCAGAGGCACTCCGGCTCCCTCATTGGGAGGTTGCAGGGAGATTCAGGAATTCCCTTTTCAGAGTCCAGGGGAAACAGCCCCTCATCCCTTCAAGATCCCAGGCACTCCCCGCCCCTGGGAGCCCTCTACACCTGGGCCCATCCCCACACAGTGATGATGATGTGGTCCAACTTCTTAATGCAAGAGGAGGACCGGCGAAGGGGGGCATCGGGCCGGGCTCGAGGGCAGCACAAATCTGGGCTGTCGCCGGAGCAGGAGGGGAAGATCAAGCTGGTGCTGCTGCTAACCTCTGTGGGCGCCACGCTGGCTGTGCTGGCTGTGGGTACTGAGTTCTGGGTGGAACTCAACACCTTCAAGGCCAATGGCAGCGTTGTGTGCGACGCCGCCCACCTGGGACTATGGAAGATGTGCACCAAGCGACTGTGGCAGGCGGACGTGCCAGTGGACAGGGAGACATGCGGCCCTGCCGAGCTGCCTGGAGGTGAGTTGGCCCCCAGTGCATGAACCCCAGACAGTCAGAGCACCCTGGTGGGAGAAAACCCTGCTCCAGAAACAGCCTCTGCCCCAGGGAGGGAGCTTGTACCCCCAGAAAGAGCATGAACCCACATCGGCCCACTCTCCCCAACAGCTTTTGCCCAAGCACAAACTGCAGAGAGTCTGTACCCCCAGACTAGCCTGTGTCCCCCACCAGTCTTACCCCAGACCAGCCCTTATCTTCTGATCAGCTTGTTTCCCTAGACCACACGGTGCCTTCAGACAAACCTGTACTCTTAAACCAGCCTGTACCCAAAACCAGCCTGTACCCCCCAGACCAGCCTGTATCCTCAGACCAGCCTGTATCCCCAGACCAGCCTGCACCCTCCAGACTTGCCTATACCCCCAGAGAGAGCCTATTTCCCTAGAGAAACCTTGTACCTCTGCACATGGCCTTACCCCTGAGACCCACCCTGTGACTCCAGACACAAATGGTGCCCTCAGACAGCCTGTGTCCCCCAGAAACGCCCACAGCCCCTGAGACAGCCTGTGCATGTGTCCCTGTGCATGTGTCCACACACAGCCTGTGCCCTTAGAGAATCTGGGTTCCTGGTATCAGCTTGCTCTTTCACACCAGCGACAGCCTGTACCTCTATCTTGCGGGCCCTGGGAGAAAGAACACCTTACCTCTGACCTCCAAGTAGAATCCATACCTATTCCCACCTACTGATTCTGCCCAATAGAGTTCTCACCACACAGATCCCAACACCCAGGCAGCCCTCGTGCTTCCTCTATTTACCATCCCTCTCACCTCTAAATGAGCCACCTGCATACTCCAGCCTTCTCATTTGCTCTTACAGACACTCCCCCACATGCTTCACTTTCCCACAGAGTAGCCCTATCATTCCTCGCTATGTTAGGGAACTGTCCCCTACCTCTCACACTCCCTGACAGGGTACGCCATGCTTCTTGCTTATACCAGTGGGACAGCCTGTCCCCCTTGGGAACGGGCTCTCATGCCACCTCCACTGACCCAAGGAAACTATCTGACACCCCTCAGGGTCCATTCAGGATGACACATGCTTGACCGCCTATTCCTCCAGGCTCCAGATAGGACACCCCATGCTCAACTTCCCTAGATGTGGAACCTTACATCCACAGGGTCCCAGCTAGGATACCCCAAGCCCTTGGTAGCAAAGTAGGATGTCTGAGGTACTCATCCACTCAGCATCCAGATTAAACACTTCACTTCTGCAGATGGGCTAGTTCTTGCCCCTCAGGCCTCAAGCAGGAAGTCCTCAAACTTCTGTGAAAATGGAATGTCCAGTAATATAAATATTAGATGCTTATGCCGTGCTCGGCTCTGTTTTAGACACTTCACATGAATCAATGTGTTTCCACATAGCAACCCTGTGCGTAGTTATTACTGTCCCCATTCTACAGAAAAGAAAAATGAGAAGAAATGTAAGTGGCTTCATCTATGCACTCAGCTTTGAACCCTGGTCACTTCTGTTCTTAGCAACTACCCTAGATTGCATCTCACTAGTCTACAAAGATATCCCAAAGGTCCTCGCTGCACTGGAGGGGATGTCCCACCCACCTCACTGTATTCAATGGGGTCCTTCACATCCCTTGCTGTCCCCAGATTAGTCAGAAAGGACTTCAACTTCCTTACGAGACAGCTACTGTCACCCCACAATCCCGACCATTCAGAGCACATTGCACCTCTTTCATTATCTCAGAAATACCCCAGTGCCTGTCAGGGACATTCCAAGGGGCCACGAGGGGGTGACCCATAAACAACTCTTTTCCAAATGGGTTGTGATATATCCTCTGGGGTTGGAGACAAGATGTCCATATTATTAGTAGTCAACGTGGGATGCCAGACACCCCACACTCTCCCAGAATGGTGTCCCACGCCCACTAGATGGGGCTCACACTTCCTGTGTGTATGTAGACCATGTTTCCCCCACTGACTGTTACACGCAGTGTCCCCTTCACTCTGCTGCACAAAGCATAAGGACTGTCACAACTAATGCCCTCCTCCTTCCCCCTTCCCTCAGCCTGCCAGGTCCAGTGTCCCATACCACCCCACCTGACTCAGTCCATCTCTTGTCCCTCCACATCCTCCTTCAGTTTGGAAAGTTCCTTCCTACTCCTCCAGACTGCCTGGTCCCTCTCATATTTCTTTCAGCCCCTCTTATTTTCTACCTCTCTCCTCCCTTCCTATGCCTCAGTTTCCCCATCCATAGAATAAGAGAGAAGTGAATTAGATGAATTCGATTGAACTAGGTGAATTCTACAGGAAGTTCTGGCTTTAAAATACAGTTTAAAAAGTGCCTTAATTTTTTTCAATTGGAGTTGACATTCAGTATTATTTTATATTAGTTTCAGGTGTACAGCATGGTGGTTAGACATTTAGATAATTTATGAAGTGATTTCTTCAATAGTCTAATACTCACCTGGCATAGTTATTATAATATTATTGACTATATTCCTGTGCTGTACTTCACATTCCCATGACTATTTTGTAACTGTCAATTTATACTTCTTAATCCCTTCACCCTTTTTACCCAGCCCTCTAAAGCCCCTCCCATCTGGCAACCATCAGTTTGTTCTCTGTATCTATGAGTTTTTCTGTTTTATTTGTTCATTTATTTTGTTCTTTAGTGTTCACATATAAGTGAGATCATATGGTATTTGTCTTTCTCTGAATTATTTTACTCAGCATAATACTCTCTAGGTCCATCCATGTCATTGTAAATGGTAAGATTTTCTTTTCTTTTATGGCTGAGTAATATTCCTTTGTATATATACGTACCACTTCTTTATTCAATTGTCTATTGATGGGCAAGAAAATGCCTTTTTTAAGTTTAGGGTTTCTTAGATCTTAAGTACACAAAATTGAATGAATCATACTCTTCAGTTTATGTCACAAAATCATTACCAGCCTTTGCAAGGTTCTTCCTGTGCTCTATTTAACATTATTATTCTTTTATTTCATTCCTTCCTAACTCATCTCTTTAATGTGTTTGATAGGCATCCAAGCATATATCTTTCCACTTGGAAAATATATAGCATTACTTTATATCCGTAGGTGTTTTAATTTACATAAATAATATCATGCTATAGATGTTTTCCTGTTTTTAATTTTTTCTCCCAACACTGTGTTGGGGAAAACCTCAAATCTCTCCAGGTTCTGTTAGCCTTCTGACTTCCTGTTACTATAAACAGTACTGCAGTGAACATCCACATATATATTTCTGAGTGTGGTTTTTGTCTGGATGTAGCCCCAGAAATGAAAAGGCTGGGAATAAACATACTTCATTTAATAAAGTCTATCAGAGTGCTTTCCAGAAAGACAGGCATACCTGCGAGTTCAGCACCAGACCGTCGCAGTCAAGTGAGTCCCATGAATTTTGGGGTTTCCCAGTGCACATAAAAGCTATGTTTATACTATATTGTAGTGCATTAAGTGTGCAACAGCATTATGTCTCAAAAATGTACATACCTTGATTTAAAAATACTTTATTGCTAAATAAAGGCTAACCATTACCCGAGCCTTCGGGGAGTCATAAACTTTGCTGGTGGAGGGTCCTGCCACAATGTTGATGAAAACGCAGCATTATTGAAGTGCAATAAAACGAGGTCTGCACCAGGTTACACTCCCAGGTGTTTCCTGTTCTTCCAGCGCTTGATATCACCCTTTCAACGTTGGATCATCTAATTGCTCTTCAGTGGCATCTCCCTGCTGATTTGAGTTGCATTTTTGGGATACCTAGTGAGGTGTAGCATCTCGCCCTGTACTCGTGAGTCATCCAGGCAACCTCTTTTATGAAGCGACTATTCATGTCTTTGCCCATTTTTTACCTGGCTTACCTTTCTTTTCCTG